AAATATATTAAAAAAAAAAAAAGAAAAAAAAAAAAAAGAAGAAAAAAAAAAAAATAATAGCCAGTCTGTGTTTCTTTTATTTTTTTTTAAATTTCTTTATTGATTAAGGTATCACATATTTGTCCTCACCCCCCCCCCTTCCCATCCCAAACCCCTCCTCACGCATACCCTCTCACCATGACCACTGGTTAGGCTCATATGCATGCACACAGTCCTTTGGTTGATCTCTCCCTCTTTCCCCCACCCTTCCCTACCTTCCCTCTGAGGTTTGACGGTCTGATTGATGCTTCCCTGTCTCCGGGTCTGTTCTTGTTCATCAGTCTATGTTGTTCATCATTTCCTCTAGATGAGTGAGCTCATGTGATACTAGAAATACACTTAAATGAACCGAAAATGAGACAAGCAATAATGGTTATGCTGAGAGGCAAATGAATCAGTCTGTTGTGAGTTTCTTTCTGAGCCAACAGTTCTTTTGAGTCCCAATTTCTATGTCAAACAGTTCCTTATGTGTACATGTCAGCAATGATATTTCAGTTCCAGTCTGTGTTTCTTTTATTAGGTTTTAAACTTGTGTATCATCGTATGTAATTTATCAATTATATTTCTGTGGTCTTCACTGTGAGAATAGTGCCTTCCACATGAAATTTTTGTCTGTTTTATTAACGATCCATCATTTGTTCTGACATAGCTGAGATTCTCTTTTAGATAGGTATTGCTAATGTCTGTCTGCAGGGTGGAAATGGGTAGAGAGTAGAGGTTTGGGATAGGTTTAGCATCAAAATAGGAGAGTGATTTTTTTTTCATTATTTAAAATTCCATTTCATAATATTTGTCCTTTTCTATACATGTTTTTATTTTCTCCTCTAGCTATCAGATTTCCATTTATTTAGTATCTTCCCATCAGCAGCATTGTAAATAGGAATGAATGAGTCACCATCTATTGCATAGATTCGAGTTAAAGGAGAAACTGATCACATGATAGGACACTCATATTCTGGAAATATCTGGTAAGTAACCATTAATTTATAGGAGTGTTTCATGTCATACCACAACAAGCTAGTTAAAGAAATAGGGAAGCACCACCTTACCTAAGACCAAGCAACTGACAGCAAAAACATTACACCAAAAGACACTTTCAGGCCTATTGCCAATTCATGGACTTTGCTCATGGAAGAGCCATCAGGTCCTCACTCAAAAGTTATTAAATCCTTCAGACTGGTTTAACAATCTGCAAATTCCCTGCATACAGTAAATTTAAAGTAAGTTAGAATGGGGACTATTGATACAGGCATTGTCAGCAGCAAAAACCAACAACCAAGAGAGAAAATAGAAAAACTACTCAAGTAAAATAAAAATTCAAAACATTAGTTGTCTGGGACCTGTGAGTGTAGGTCAAATATCCCTGCACTTTCTAAGAGCCTCTGAATACAAATGGAATCATGCAAAGATGGTCCTTTGTGACTGGGTTCTTTAACTTTGCATAATGTTTTCAAGGTTCATCCACGGTGTAGCATGTATTGGCACTTCATTCTTTTTTAGTGCCAAAAATATCCCATTGTATGACTTCACCACATTTTATTTATTATTAGTCAATGGACATTTGGGTTATTTCAATTTTGGGGTACTATAAACAACTAGTGTCCCAGTGTGTGGATTCATGCACATTGAAAGGAAACCAATTAGAAGACATATTTTAATATTGCTATTTGAGACTTGCTAATGAAAAGAAAATAGGATTCTACCTAGTCTCCTGTCTATCCACTCCAGGACTTCTGTGAAGATCAAATGAGATGAGGCACGTGAAAATGCTTCACAAACATTTGGCTAAACTTCAAAATGTTTGCACCTGGCTATAAAGCAAATCAGGTTCCTGGGCTGAAGAAACTCCAAGGAGGCTAGTCACTAGGGAAAGGAAGCTGGGCGTTGCTATGTGACGTCATTACCCCAGGCCCACAGTGACTTTTTCCAGACTGGGCTGGGCTGTGGGCTGCATTTTGCACCCTGGGGTCTTGGCAACATTGGCTGCAATTTGGTGGGGTGTCACTCCAGGGTGGTGGTGTGGCTTGTGTTATCCTTGGGGGAAACCGAGTGTTGGTTTGTTGGTGATTGTGTGTTTATTTTTAAATTGCCAGTGCCTGTCATGGCAGCTCCTGCATTGAGCGTCTGCCCCCTGATGGTCACTGTGCATCATAGCTACCAGTTGGATGGACAGACACAGCCTTTTATATATATATATTATATATATAGATGATACCATTCTGCAGATGTAGTTGTTGTTTGCATACTAGCTTATAGATGTGATTAATTTTGCAATACTTATCATTAAGGAGCTTGGTTCGGTGTTAAGTCTATCACTTTCCATAGTGTAGATCAAGCTGGAAGTACACATGTGTGCTTTTGCACATGGGTAATGTTTTGTATGTGTAACCTGCAGTGGGAACCTCAATTATAATACATGGGGAAGGGTGATCTTTCTTTTGTGACCCCTAAATGGGATCATGGTCCATTCTAACCATTTAAGTTCTGATTAGAATAAATCAGAGCAAATAATGTAGAACCTAGCCAGATGGGTATGATTTTTAAAAAGTCCTTTCCTGCAGGACCTAACATTCTAAGAAAAGATAAAATAAATGACTACTAAGTACAAAACAAAACTACCTTGGAGAAAGCTCTTCCTACGTGAGAGGAGGATTGGAACAAACTTTTGAGTGTAATCTTGCAGGACGTTGCAATTCAAAAACCATTAAATTGTGTAAACGTACAATCCCTTCTTTGCCAGACGGAGGAGTTTCCTGATTGTACTCTTGAGGTATTATAAAGTATTTCTAAGGCTGCTGTTAAACTAGAGAATTGTGAATTGGTAGGTTTTCAAATAAATTACTCCAGACCTCAGTCTGGTCTAAAGCTTCCTGTTTTTACAATTAACTCCTCATGTTTCTTTGTTGAGTGTGTGTGTGTGTGTGTGTGTGTGTGTGTAAAACCTAAAGATAGACCAGGAAGCATGTGGGGCCATCTGGCTTTAGAAGGGAATCCAGATTTCTGTGCAGGCTAGCTTCTCAATGTAAACTGGATAAACAATGCTATTGTCATGTACAACTCCTGTGTTAACCTTTCAGTCATCACTGTCCAAAGTGCCCTTGCTTTCTTGTACAGAAAATACTGTATGGGTCTTTCATGTATGAATGAAGCAGGTTGGTCTGTCTTAAGATAAACCCCGCTAGAAGCAGGAACACTTCCATGTTGTTTAGTCAAGCTTCTGAGGGATTACAAAGAAAAGTGAACCTCTCGGGCATTAGGCTGTTCCTTTTTGGTGCCTGCTCTCTCTTGGTCTGCATTTCCAAGTAAAGGGTTGTGATTAAGAAAGAGTCATCCAGAGGAGAAGGAAATAATTGCTAGCAGCCAGAACGATCCAAGGCTTGTGCACTGGCCAGGGCCATATGAGATTTTACTCTCTTTACCAGATAGCAAAGTGTGCTTCGAATGCATCAGAATATTAATTGAAGGGCATTTCTCTTCTCTTCAAAGCGAGAGCCATTCTTCTATAACTGAAGTAACGTAGGAGAGGTTACATTTCAAGTTTTCCCCCCTAAAGATTCTTTATTTGGCTGGGGGTGGCGATAAGAGGGGTCATGATGAGAACAACTTCAACAACCTTTATGGAGCTTTAACTGTACATTGCCATTCCTTTTAACCCTATTGTTATTCCTGCTGTACATTATGAAGAAAGCGAACCACAGGCAGGTTCAGTAAGCTGCCTCGGCATACACAGCTGGTAAGTGTGAGAGCCTGGGTTTGAATTAGGTAGGAAGACAGGCTCAGGCTCTCCACGACCTAATTAAGAAATGGTGCTGCTTCTTAATTAGTGTTATGACAAAACCATTTTTTGCTACTAATTTAAAATACCCTATACGTAATCAAAAGTAGATGTTTGTGTACAAGTTAAGAGTACACTCTGCAAAAACGATTCTATATTTATACTCTTTCTCTGTCAAAAAATTTTTTTTTATATGCCCATTTTCTCTCGGGAAAAAGAAGTCTTTTTGATTTTCCTTTGAAGAGGAACATTTGATTTTGCTGGCGAACTGCTCAAATTACTTTGATGGTTCCAGTCGTGCACAGCATAGAGATTGACGACAAATATGTAATCTATTTATTTGTCACCCGACTTGGATGACTTCCAAATGTTTCTTCTTAGTAGCTCTTAATTTTGTTTGGATTTTTTTTTTTTTTTTAAACGGCCCACTAGTCAAACAAACCGTCTGAAATCACGTTTGCTCCCTTCAAGGGAATACCAACGTGTTGAAAGACAGCTTTTGGCTATGTAGAATCCTGCTCCATTCACTTGCAACTTTGCAGAGACCTCATGCTTTCGTGGGCTGGATTTTTAAAAAGGGATAGAAAACACAAGGAATAAAAATAAAATAAAATAATAAAATAAAATAAAATAAAAAAGTTTGCGGCTCAAGTCCGCCCCCCTTGCTATTTGCTGCAGTGAATTTCCCCATTCCGTGTTGCAGGCAAAAAAAAAAAAAAAAAAAAGAAAGAAAAAAAGCACGCTTCGAAGATCAAATCAAAACTGTCCGAAAAACGCTGTCTGCATCCCTCATGGTGAAAATAAAAAAAATTAAAAAGAGAGAAGAATTTCGTTCCCTTCCCTTCACACATCAAAGAAGGCGCTCGGGGAGGAAATGCACCATAATTAGGCACGAGCGAGCAGACAGCCCCCTTCCTCCGCCTTCCCCATCCCCGCCCCCCAGACCCTGGCACAAATCCGGGGGGCGCGGGCGAGGCGCCGGCCCGCAGCTGCCGCAGCGGGAGCGGGGGCGCGGGCGCGGCCCGGGCGGGGGCGCGCGGGCGGCGGGCGCGCGCAGGCAGCGGTTTTTCTTCTCCCACATCCAGAGGCTGCGCGCGGGCGGGCGGGCGGGCGGGCGGGGCGGGAGCCGGCGGAGGGATCCGGCGCGGAGGGAGCCGCGCTCCTCGCTGGCGGCTGGGCGGGCCGGCGGGCGGCGGGCCGGCTGTGATGCGGCACTGCGGTCCTGCGGCCGGCGCTCCCTCTCCTCCGGAGGGCCGGGCGGAAGGCTAGGCGGGAGCGCGGCGGCGGCGGCGTGGGGCCAGGGCTTCCCAGAGGCGCGCTAAGAAAAAAAGAAATAAAAAAGGGAGGGCGCTGGCGGGGCCCCGCACCCTGGGGGCTGAGAGACACCCCGATTCAAGCCCCCCACCCCGCGGGGAGGGGCAGGGGGCGGCCGGCCGGGGGATGGCGTGTGCTCGGGGGGAAGGGGCGAGCCCTGCCTGCGGTTGGTGAGGGGCTGCGGCCGGAGGCGGAGGAGGAGGCGCCGGTGGGTGGAAGGTGCTGAGCGGGGCGCGGAGGGCGAGCCCGGCAGCCCTCGCCGTGACAGCCGACGTGGTGCCTCCTTGTCGCCCGCCTTGCGGTTAATTCATTGGGGGCGGCTTGGCGGATCGGGCTCCTCCCGGAGCCGGGCCACCTGGACGGGCTTTTTGTCTGGCTGCCCCGGCCCCCTTCCCCTTCCTCCTCCTCCTCCCGATGCCTCTCCCCTGCCCCTCCTCGCCCGGTACGGCATTGCCTGCGCGGCTCGTGGCTGCTGTCGAAGCCACCGCTTCTCGGGGTTTCGGCTCCTTTCCCTGCTGGGGTGTCTTTTTTCCTTTTTCTTCCCCCCCCCCTTTTTTTTTTGAGGTGGGAGAGTGTTTCCCCTCCACGATGGGGTTTTCTTCCCGTGCCAGCATAGACTTTCATTGATTTTTACTTGTGCAGCGTGTAGTGACCGGGTTCCCTAGGCGTATTTTTGTGGTGGTGGTTCCTTTTTTTTTTTTTTCTTCTTCTCTTTCCCCAAATACATGAGCTGTAAAATGGAGAACGAGATTTTTACTCCCCTCCTGGAGCAGTTCATGAGCAGCCCTCTGGTCACTTGGGTAAGTGGGTGTTCTCTCTGGCACCGTTGGTGGCTGCTGCTGCTGCTGCTGCTGCTGCTGCATTATCTGTGGCCGCAGAGATGGAGGTGGGCACTCCGTGCCGTGATGATCCTTCTGTTCCAGGTCAAAACGTTCGGACCGCTGGCTGCAGGAAACGGGACCAACCTGGAGGAATATGTGGCTCTGGTGGATGGGGTGTTCTTGAACCAGGTCATGCTCCACATGTAAGTGTTCTTTTCTTTTTCTTTTCCTTTTCTAGGCAACTTGTGTTGTTTGGAAAATTACATGCTGTGAACTTTAGAGATTTTTATGATGTAAGCTCCTCATTTGATTCTTTGGCCAGAAAAAAAGAGAAAAGAAAGAAAAAAGTCAGGCATCTTAACACAATTGGACCTTGAAAGGAGGGATGATCTGACATGCCCAGCCTATTGGATCACAACCCAGAGATTCAGATTGGGAGACTTTAGTTTTTCATTCTGTAAACCATGTATTGGCACCTAATTGTCTTCAGTGCTGGAATTCAAGCCACATTGTGTCCCTCTGATAATTTGGTAAAATGAGAGAAAGAGAATAAGAATAGTTTCCTATGGGGAGGAGGGATGAAGGGAGGAAGCCCTTACTGGGAAGTTATGTGCAATTGATGCAGAAGTGTTTATTAACCTTTGTGTTTAAAAATAAATGTCACAGAATTTGAAAGTAGTGAAGTAATAACAGATTGCAGAAGAAAGAAAGAATTTCAAACAATAGTTCTGATTGGTGGGGGAACTGTTGCTGTAGCAAACAATTTAAATGCTACTAAATCTGAGTAGATGATTTATTGTGTGAATTATTAGATTAATATTTGGGGGGAATCGCTTAGCTAATAGAGCTAGTTTTGAAATTCAGGTAACCGAAATCTTGATGACAACTAGGTAATGATGTGGGCATATCTTCCTTTGTCTTTTATGTTTATGATATTTGGTTTGTGTTAAGTAGGAACATTTTTGAGATGGGAATTGGATATTGAAATCATATTGGTAGCTGGATCTGTGAAATAAAAACTTCAGTTTTATCATTGTGGCTTATGTGTGTTGTGTGTACATCAGTGGAGGCTCTGAAACTGAATTTTACAGTTGTGTTCAAAATAATGGATATTTGCCTTATTTCTCTTGAATAGACTCTGATTACAGGAGTAGTTTGGAACTTATAATTTAAAAATATTCTAATCTTTTGTTATGTAAGAATCTCATGCATTATTAATAAATGTTACTAGAGAATAAGTCTACTATTGCTAGACTTAATAACCTAACAGAAGGTATCAATTCTGTATTTTATTGGAAATTTTTTTTTTTAGATTTTTCTATTTAAAAGAGAGTTAAAAATCACCTCCATAAATAATTGTTCCAGTGGTAACTTCTCAGTCTGTGTGTTCAAAGAGTTTGCGTGCTGTTTTTAATGTACGTGTTGATCCAACATAAGTATCATAGTAGTACATGCTTTCCAAGTGTTCTATTTGTATAGTCACCCAAAGAAATATGTGTGTTATCTAAATGTGTGTGCACATACATTTTTTTTTCTTAAGAAAGGTAAAAAGCATGTGGGCATTACTTATTTCCAGGTTTAGTAAATATACTTTTGGCGGCTCTCCTATGGAACTATTTTTTTTTGTCTTTGAAATACCCCACTATTTCCTAAGCAAAATGGTAGACTAATTAAATTGACTTCTATTTTAAGGAACACACATGACAGGAAGGGTAGCCATTATAGTAGATCCTTAGAACTTGTTCTCCAGTTTCTTTTTGGCTTTTTTTTTAAGACAGAATAATTTGAATTTGTATGCTGACCTCTTAAAAAAATAGGTGTGTTTACAAAAATAGGAAAATACATTACTTAAGTTTTCCACTTTAATAGTTTTTATTTAAATGATTCTTTTTCCAAAAAGAAATCTAGTTTATTTTGGAGTCCTAAATAGTTAGCAGAGATGCTAACAACACGTTAGCTTGTTTCCACTTTGAGTACAGTTAAAAATATGTATGCATATTTTGAAAGTAATGGTGTTCCAACACAGTGGCTGCCAAGTTGTTTTTGAGGGAGAACCTCAGATCTGCTTCTGTTTTCAGTTCCACCTCTCAGTTTCTTTAAAAGTTTTTACAGTGTCCTAATTCTGTTCTGAATGACCTATATTAATTAAAGGAAAAGAAAATTAAGGAAAAAAGTATGCTTTAGCTTTTTAAAAATAATTTGCTAAAATAAGATCAACACAAACTCAATACCCAATAGGGTAATAAAATATACATTGTTTTAAAAGCCATATTTTGCTCATTTTGAAATCACTAAGATTTCTGTGAAGCACTTTACTTAAATTATTGTTTGATTTAATGTACTGTATTAAATTGTCAGTTGAAATTGTACTTGGTAAGTTAAACTAAAAGTTAGCCTTTGTCTAAGTAATTTCTACATGACATTTGGTTAATAGAATTTGCCAGTAAGAATCCTTTGTAAATGAATCTTTATTTTTCTTTGTTTCTTGTGCTTAGAGTTCGTTGAGCTTCTTGGATCTGTTTGATTTTGTAGTTTTTATCAAATTTGAAAAAGTTTTGGCCATTACACACACACACACTCACACACACACACTCTTTATTTTTGTCCCCTTTTTCCTTGGGAAATCCAATTACATGTATATCAGGCTGCTTGATGCTCACTGATGTTCTGTTCACGTTTTTCCCAGTCTTCTCTGTTTCAGTTGGATAATATTGCTGTGTCTCCAAGTTCATTGATCTTTTTTCTATAATGTGTAATGTGCTGTTATTCCCATCCAGCATATTTTTTTTTATTTCAGATGTGGTTTTATCTCTAGAAATGCAGTCTTTTTTAAAAAAAGTCTTCCACATCTATAGCTTTTATACTCTTCTCTTTTTCCAGCTTCTTGAACATATACTAGTAGAATTCAGGTATAACTGGCTGGATGTACAGGTCCACAATTCAATCTGTGTCATTTCTGGGTTGGTTTTGATAAATTTTTCTTTTTATGGATAGTGTTTTCTTGCTCTTGCATGCCTGGTAATTTTTGATTGGATGTCAGGCATTTGGAATTTTGCCTTGTTGGGTGCTGGATATTTTTGTATTCCATTAAACATTCCTGAGCTTTTGTATTCCATTAAATATCTGGGATACAATTAACCTGGAAACAGTTTGATCTTTTCAGATCTTGCTTTTAAGTTGTGTTAGGCAGTTCCACTGTTGCACTATTGAGGCAAAACTCTGCTTAGTACTCTTAACTTTTGGAAACAAGAAATATTCCTGGACTTGTGTGAGCTCTTAGGTGGTGTTCCTTCTAATCCTTGTTAGTTCTATCACTGTCCTTGGGTAGTTTACTCAAATATGTACTGATAAGTACTCAGCTGGAAACTTGAGGGGTCCCTGGATCTGTTGTGCAGCTCTCTCTCACTACTCTGCCTTGTAGATAATCATCACCTTGCTGCCTCCAGACTAAATTATGTCTCCTCAACTCAGGGAGACCACTGTGCTGCTTGGGTTCCCCCTCCCTGTTCTGTGGCCTAGATGTTCTTTCGAGGCAGTAAAGTAAGCTAGGGCAGTTGTTTGTTTTCACCTATCAGAAATCTTTTTTGTTGCCTGATGTCCATTGTCTTGAAAAAATGCTTTCTGTATTTTGTCTTTTTCTTTTTTCCCCCACAGTTGTTTCAGGCAGGAGGGTAAATTTGGTTCCAGTTATTCCATCTTGGTCAGAAGTGGAAATCTGTTTATATACTTACTAGAGGCCCGATGCACAAAATTTGTGCAAGAGTAGGCCTTCCTTCCTGGCTGCAGGCACTGGCTTCCCTCTGGCACCTGGGACCGGGCTTCCTTCCGCCGCTGACAGGCACCCGGGCTTCCCTCTGGCCACAGGCAGGCACCTGGGACCCAGTCGTCCCTCGCAGCTCCGGCTTTGTCTGGAAGGATGTCCAGTCTAATTAGCATATTACACTTTTATTATTATTATAGATAATTACATTTTTGCCCTGCCACTGTTGTATTTCTGCTTTCAGATGTGGCATAGAATTTTGTTATAGGAGCCTTATGGTAGAACTTTATTTTCATGTAAAGTCAGTGAATAGTAAGAATATTGACTAATTTAGTGACTAGATTTGCCATTTTGGACCTAGAATCTGAAATAAAATAGTTGCTTTTTTTCATGCCAGTTTACTGCCTGCCTTATAATTTTGGAGTCTTTTCACTGACTTGGGATTCACTATATTCAGAGATGAATCCGGGATTTCATTAAGTAGTTCCTTGAATCAAAGAATCTCTGTAAGAGCTTGAGACATGGTGTCAGTCCTCTTTAACGAATGGGAAGAGGAAGCTATTTAGAGATCTGGAATGATGGGCCAGCTCTTCTGCATGCTGCAGGGCATTTTCCTACTTAAACTGAGTGAAAAAAAATTCTCAGCGCTAGTTACATACATAGGGCTCAGTGACAGTGAAGTAGAAATAATCGCTTTTCTGTTTGAGATGTCATTCAGTTCTGTAACCAGTTTTGAATGTTACTTTCTATGAATTTTAAGGAATTTGTGACAGTAGTTAATTTCATAATTTTAATGTTCACAGAGTATGCTATTTTACCTTACCTAAGCGGTTGGATATATTAAGGTTTTAAGGATGACAAAATTGTTATTAGTATTAAAAAAATATTTGGAATTGCTCTATGATTCAATTCCATTAGATAGCAATAGAGATCTATACTTAAAATACTTAGTAGATATGATATACTGGTTATGGCTTTTCTTCTTTTAGATCTTGATTTTGAAGGGTCTTTAAAAGTCATCTACTGTGAAAACAACTTTTTTTAAAATTTAAATTCTTTATTGTTTGAAGTATTACATGAGTCTCCTTTTCTCCCAATGACCCCTCCCTGGTCTCCCCTACCCCCCAGCACATGCCCTCACCCCTCTACTATCTGTTACCATTGCTAATGCTCATATGCATGCATACAAGTCCTTTGGTGAGGGGGCAAGAGATCAACGAAAACATCTTTTATAATTTTTATTTATTTATTTATTTATTTATTTATTTTTTATTGACGTTAGAGAGAGAGAAGGGAGAGAGAAAGAGGGATGTGAAAGAGAAACATCAATCCTATCTACACCATAATTGGATATTGAACCTACAACCTAGGTATGTGCCCTGACTGGGAAGGGTACCTGCAGCCTTTTGGTGCGTGGGACAGCAACCACCTGAGCCAGCCAGC